GTGTGTGTGTGTGTGTGTGTGTGTGCGCGCGCGCGCGCATTCACATCTGCATGTGCACTAGAGTACTGTTGGTATATAAGTATAGTCATTGCATGGGTCATATGTAAACTAATACAGTATAATGTTTCTTGTATTCTCAGGTACCATTTGGACATGTAAAATATGCAAAGGAGTGGCTAGGAGTGACTGGAGGTGTCAAAAGGCCTGAGAAAGAGCATCCCAAAAGGCCAATACAGGGCTTGGAGTGTACAAAAAGTGAGGTGTGTGTATATATATTTTCTTTTCCCTTTCTTCAGTATTTCTAAACAAAGCTTTTCACAATTATATAATTGCAATATTTATAGGTTCTGTTTGCCTCAGATAATTAAAAATAATCAGTCATTCAATCCCAAAGGTGAGTGGAGACCGTCTGTGGTCACTGTTGAAGGAGCTAAGTGGCTCGCCAGACGTACTGTTCAGAAGCGTTTTCCTCCACAACTACTGCCCGCTGTTCTTCTTGAAGGAGTCGGCTAAAAACGTCACTCCACCTGAGCTAAAGGTTGGTTCGCCTAGTTCGGTCTCCTCTCTACTTACTCACCACATCTTAATAATTTCTCACTTCTCTCCTCTTTCATCTTTCTCCCTACCATCTCACCTTAGCTCTCTTTTCCATTCTCCCTGTTCCTCCTTCTCCGTCTCCCCTCCCCCGTATCTCACTTCTTTATTCTCTCTGTTCCTCTCCTCCTCTTGCTCCTCTCATTCTCCCTCTTTCATAATTTAGTGAAGTTAATGTATGTGTTTCCCTGTTAGCCTTTGTTTACCCATCATAGTAAGGATACTCTCTTCACCAGGTTAAGGAGAGAGCTGGCCTAGAGGAAGCCTGTGATGAAGCCTTGATAGACACAGTAAAACTCCTCCAAGTTGAGCATGTAATTGGTGTGGGGAATTATGTTGTAGACAAAACACGTAAAGCCTTCATCAAAGCAGGGATTACGAACATTGAGGTAAAGTATCATGCTGTAAACTCTAAGAGATACAAATGAAATGTTTATGTATAGTCTACTGTATGCTATCATTTACCCCACAACTTTTCTGGTATTAATATCACTGAAATCCAAACATTAATGTTTCAGATTAGCTTGTTGATGCACCCAAGCCCAGTGAACCCAGCAGCTAATAAAGGTTGGAGGGAAATTGCTATAAAACAATTAACAGAAAGCAAAGTCATCAACTATTTCAAGCCCGAAGCTTGATTGTCGCGTTCAGATGATCGTGCAACTTATATATATAATAATTGGTCAATAATTCACATGCAGTTTGCCCTCTTCTGTAATTTGCACACATAATGGATGGAGTTGCAAGCACAGACTTAAGTAACCAGTGGATGGAGGCAGCCCTGAACCAAGCCAAAGATGCACTGGAGTCAGGTGAGGTACCTGTTGGCTGCATCTTTGTCTACAAGGGTTCAATCTTAGCCTCTGGCCGCAACACAGTCAATGAAACTCACAACGCCACCAGACATGCCGAGATGAACTGTGTTGACCAAGTTCTGAATTGGTGTCAAGATAAGAAGCTCAATCACAGACAAGTTTTCCCAGAGATTAGTATTTATGTCACTGTAGAACCTTGTGGTATGTGTGCCGACGCATTAGGGCAGCTTGAAATTAAAGAGATCGTGTTTGGCTGCTCAAATGACAGATTTGGGGGTTGCGGCTCTGTTGTCAATGTCCCTAAAATGTATAATTATCCATTTAATATCAAAAAAGGCATTAGAGCTGATGAAGCCATTGGACTATTGAAGGATTTCTACAAAGGTGAAAATCCAAATGCTCCGTCTGACAAAGCAAAGCGCAAGAAAAGTCAGTAATAGGCCAAGCTTTGTAAATAACTTGGTGAATTGGATTAGAATTATATTCAGACATAAAATGGTTCATGTTATGATGTAATTCTAATGTGCAGAGATTCAAGTAACTATTATCAATTCCATTTACATTATAAAGTAAAGACAAAAGTTTTCTTGTTTTTTTTATATTACTTAAAAGATAAAAAAAAAAAAAAAAAATAGATATACTTTGTGACCATTATTGATAAAGTCAGACTCTTAAATTAACAGCAAGATGATAAAAGATAAAAAAAAATAAAAAATTAAAATAAAATAAAAAATTACACAGGCTCTGAAGTGAAAAGTCTTCATAAAATTTGTTCTGGTTGATTTTTACAAATGAAATGTGCTGCATGTGGTCTGACAAAAGATTTAACCCATCTTGATTATCAGGTTCTTTATTTGTAAGCAATAAACAGAATTTTGTATCTTAATTTAATATTTGATAAAGAATTTTGTAGAGACAATTAAATGTCATTACCATTTTGACCCAGCATCTGTCAAATTATGAAGAGAAAATATTAGTTTCAAGTGCTATTTTAGCAAAGTTTGTGATTAACGTGTTAATGCTGCACTTTGTTGTTATTGTTTGACTTGTTTTACAAAATCAATTATAGTTTGGTGTGTGTGTGTACACCTTCCAAAGAAATTTATTTTTTTACTTTCTTTAATATTTCAATACACAATAGTACAAGCACCAACTGCTCAGAAGGATAAGTGTTCTTCAGAAAAATATAAATAAAAAACTGCAAGTTATATATGTGTTTTATTTATATGGTAAATAAGTTCTGATATTTTTTTGTTAAATTCATACATTTTACATATTATTGGTTCCTTTTCCTGCAAAACCGTAAAACCAGGAGGTTCTCTGGGCCTGTCCTGCGCCTCATTATGCACTCACATGAAAAACCCCTTGAGTCCATTACACTCACAATTTCTTCAGGATCATTTTCCTTCAGTACAAGCAAGTAGAAGAGTCCTTTTTGAGACAGCAGTAGATCCACACTAGGCAAGATCCTGTCTAACACCTCTCTGCCTTTCACTCCCCCTGCCCACGTGTACTCTAAGTCCCCCTGACCCACCTCCTCGGAAGGGGTGACGACATAAGGCGGATTGAATAGCAGCACATCGACGGTTCCCTTTACTCTGTCAATGACCTCGGAAACCAGGTCCGTACAAACAGTCTCTATGCTGACTCCATTTATTCTGCCCGTTTCCTGGGTGACGCTGCAAGCTCTTGGGTTGATGTCGGTGCCCATGTACCGGCACAGGGGCCCCAGGACACTTCCAAGCGCTGTTATTACAATGCCTGACCCAGTGCCCACTTCTAGACACATGGAAGGTTCACGTTTCCGTATGAATCCTAGGTCCTTCTCCAGGGCATCAATGAGTAGGAAGCTATCCTCTGAAGGCTCGTAAATATGATTTAGATCTTCTGATGTTATATGAGAAAAATCAGGGGTCTTTATCTTGTCTACTTGATCCATTGCTGCGATATACACTTATTGATATTAAAAGACTCCCTTGTGCTTTTTAAAACGTATTCACACAAAAATTTCCACTTGCTACACAAGGCCCCTTACTACCTCCCCAAAAATTATTCTTGAGTTAAAGAATAATATCACAACAAACTATACTTCTCAAATGACTAGATAGTTAATATGTAATTAAGTATCATTAATAATAATGCATATATCTATATACACACAAATTCTCTGTCCATCCAATGTGACCTCAAACACACCTCAGTTTTAAACAAATGGAATGTATTATTCTTGCTACATTGGCACAATACCTAAGTCACAGGAGTACATTAAGTCCACAAATACAAGTTCCCAGGATGGACACCAGAAGAAAACTATGACAGAATCAGATCAATCAATATATAGTCAAGTCTCTGGTACATCTTAAAGCCAGAACGATGTCCTTTCTATAAGTTTTGGAACATTTAATAGCTAATAAAAGTTTGCTTTTTATGACGGAAATTCAAGTCACGGTGCATGGAGTGAAGTTGATGGGACTGTTGATGGCGAACTGGTATCTAACAGAGCTTTTCTACGTGCTGTTTCTTTGCTGACCTGGTTGTGCAGTTTATTAAGTCGATCCTGGGGAAGAAAAGAGTACCGTCATCAACTCATTAACAAAATGTATAAATAAAAATAAAAAGTCCATTACTAACAACATTAATTTCTATTAAACAACAGTATAAAGCTATACCTTATTACCTTGGAAACATAACTATTCATCTATTTATTGTGCAATGCTCATCAGATCTTAATAATACTCCTTCAGTATTGTAAATAAAACAAAAAGGCTATTTTTGGTATTAAAGTTTACTCAAAATCATAGTTTCTAGGACTTCAAGCTATGGCGTAATGGCAAGAATGAATAATAACATGTAGCTGTATAAGAAAAGCAGACACACTAATAGAAACTAAGACTAACATATGAGAAGAAGAGCACGGAAAGAAAGACATTTCAGAAAAACAAAAAAACATTTCCTCAATATATCCCTTTTGCTACATTATCACAATATCTACACCCACCTGTGTATTTTGTAGAATATTGTTAACTACAACCACTCTTCTCTTGGCATTCTGTAGCTTCTTTATGTAGGCATCAAGCTGGAGTGGACACAGTGTCTGTTCCTGGACTCTTATTAATTCTACTGACAGACCCTCAAGCTGCTGGTGTAACTCACTCTGGCTCACTCTGTAGGTTATATTTAAATACTGTCAAAGGTTCCTGTAGTAGGAGTAATATATAAAATAACATATTAAATATAATCATAATGATAATTATAAATTAAATAAGTCCATTTTCTTGCTCTTCACAAGCTTTCCAGGTATCTCGAACATATGTATTGTGAAGAAGCAGATGATGATGTTTATGAAGATCTTACATTTCATGACTTGAAATTTGACATGAACATAAAACTACTGCTACTACTACTAATAATATAAACTACCCAGAAAATATCCACCGACTTAGAAAAAGATTACTGTTAAGCGGTAATAAAGCATCAATATAGAGTTTAAAAAATGACAGCATGCACAGCCAAAAGTGTTCTTGTACTATTTACCCAAAAATGCATTTATTAAATGTTTTGCTAGCTTAAACTTTCACCTGTAACCTAAAT